TTCAGTGTAAGGCGCTGTGAATTCTGCATGCTGATATCGGTTGGCTAGTATCGATATACTACCAACTGCAGCGTCAAAGTTCTGCATCAATCCATTGAAAATTGGAAAAAACAAATTGTGATTAGTACCAGTTGTTGGACAATGTATATAATCCTGCAATCAACCTCTTACCTTTAAATGAATTTGCTCAACTAAAGCATCAAATGTGCCATCGAAGGGAAGAAAATTGTATGGCAAATGAAATGGCAGTTCTTGTCGAGTGGCTTTAAAGACATCAATTGCAAGTCCTTTATAAGAGAAGATGTTATTTCCCAAGTGATCTTGTTCCACTTCCACTTCTACATATTGTTTGAATGTTGCTGTGGTTGGAACACCAATTTTCAGTGGATTGGCAATTGTTGGTGGACTCCATCCTTTCGGCGTACCCTGAATCCCCCCTGGCCAAAAAACTTGCCCCAAAGCGTTCATGGAAGATTTAAATGCATCACTTCCAGCAATTGTCTCTGAGAAACCTCGTCCATCTGACCAGAAACCAAGTTCTATGTAGCTCTCTCCAATCACATTGATGATCTGAAATGTATGTGCTGGAGCTATTGTTTGACCAGTAAAATTAATCTTCCCGCTTAAGCCATCAACATCACTTTGCAAAATGTTTGATATAATTTGCTGCCTTCCCTGCTTCTTCTTGCTCATTGCAAGGGTCACTGTCCATGTTAAATCATAAGCCTGTGCTGCAAAAATGCTTGGTTCATGGTTGACCTCCTCAGGATGCTCTGAGCTAAATCGCTGGCGAAATTTATAGCGAAAATCCTGAAAACGGGACTCATTTTCAGGGAGGTAGCTCTTTACTCCAACAATTCCTTGCATTGAGGAGATGGTAGAGGCATTGAAGGAATGGATAAGGCTTGCAAAAGGATCCATAATGATCCATACGTAATCCTTTTCCATCATGTTCATTATTTTTGCCTTCTCAAATAGCTCAACTGCAACCGGCAATGACAAGTGGACCACAAACACTCTAAATTGGCTGCCCTTAAGCCTCTGAAGTTCCTCTGACAATGATGAAGAAGCAAAAGGCTGGATGGCAAAATAATGGCTAATTTCTGCACCTACTTCTTGGAGAGCATCAGATAGATGGCTTAGCACTGCTGGAGCTGAAAAGTCTTTGTCTTCATAGATTATGGTGACTTGATGCCACTCCCACCTTTGAACTATCGCTGCTATTGCTTCCATTTGCTTTAACTTGTTTGGTGAAGCTTGAACTAGAAAGGTGCACAGTTCTGTTGCCCACACTGGAGTTGCATCAGCTAAAGACATAATAGGAATGCGACTCTTACTTCCAATCTCAGCGACTAACGACACCTCTTCCCATGTTTGTGGACCGAGAATTGCTTGCACTTGATCCGTATTGATAAGACTTCTGGCTGCAATTTGATCAATGTAATGGCATT